ACCATATGTGTGTGGGTTTATCTCTGGGCTTTCTATCCTGTTCCAATGATCTATATTTCTGTTTTTGTGCCAGTGCCATACTGTCTTTATTACTGTAGCTTTGTAGTATAGTCTGAAATCAGGGAGCCTGATTCCTCCAGCTCCATTTTTCGTTCTCAAGATTGCTTTGGCTATTGGCGGTCTTTTGTGTTTCCATACAAATTGTGAAAATTCTTGTTCCTAGTTCTGTGAAAAATGCCAGTGGTAGTTTGATACGGATTGCATTGAATCTGTAGATTGCTTTGGGTAGTAGAGTCATTTTCACAATGTTGAATCCAAGAACGTGGTATATCTCTCCATCTATTTGTATCATCTTTAATTTCTTTCATCAGTGTCTTATAATTTTCTGCATACAGGTCTTTTGTCTCCTTAGGTAGGTTTATTCCTAGATATTTTATTCTTTTTGTTGCAATGGTAAATGGGAGTGTTTTCTTGATTTCACTTTCAGATTTTTCATCATTTGTGTATAGGAATGCCAGAGATCTCTGTGCATTAATTTTGTATCCTTCAACTTTACCAAATTCATTGATTAGCTCCAGTGGTTTCCTGGTAGCATCTTTGGGATTCTCTATGTATAGTATCACATCATCTGCAAACAGTGACAGCTTTACTTCTTCTTTTCCGATTTGGATTCCTTTAATTTCTTTTTCTTCTCTGATTGCTGTGGCTAAAACTTCCAAAACTATGTTGAATAATAGTGGTGAGAGTGGGCAACCTTGTCTTGTTCCTGATCTTAGTGTAAATGGTTTCAGTTTTTCACCATTGAGGACGATGTTGGCTGTGGGTTTGTCATATCAATTACAAGAGAAGATCTGTAAAAACTACAGACACATGGAGGCTAAACAATACACTACTTAATAACGAAGTGATCACTGAAGAAATCAAAGAGGAAATCAAAAAATACCTAGAAACAAATGACAATGTAGACACGACGACCCAAAACCTATGGGATGCAGCACCAGCAGTTCTAAGATGGAAGTTTATAGCAATACAGTCCTACCTTAAGAAACAGGAAACATCTCAAATAAACAACCTAACCTTGCACCTAAAGCAATTAGAGAAAGAAGAACAAAAATACCCCAAAGTTAGCAGAAGGAAAGAAATCATAAAAATCAGATCAGAAATAAATGAAAAAGAAATGAAGGAAATAATAGCAAAGATCAGTGAAACTAAAAGCTGGTTCTTTGAGAAGATAAACAAAATTGATAAACCATTAGCCAGACTCATCAAGAAAAAAAGGGAGAAGACTCAAATTATGCCAATAAAATGGACAACCTGGAAGAAATGGGCAAATTCTTAGAAATGCACAGCCTGCCGAGACTGAACCAGGAAGAAATAGAAAATATGAACAGACCAATCACAAGCACTGAAATTGAAACTGTGATTAAAAATCTTCCAACAAACAAAAGCCCAGGACCAGATGGCTTCACAGGCGAATTCTATCAAACATTTAGAGAAGAGCTAACACCTATCCTTCTCAAACTCTTCCAAAATATAGCAGAGGGAGGAACACTCCCAAACTCATTCTACAAGGCCACAATCACCCTGATTCCAAAACCAGACAAAGACGTCACAAAGAAAGAAAACTACAGGCCAATATCACTGATGAACATAGATGCAAAAATCCTCAACAAAATAGTAGCGAACAGAATCCAACAGCACATTAAAAGGATCTTACACCATGATCAAGTGGGGTTTATTCCAGGGATGCAAGGATTCTTCAATATACACAAATCAATCAACATGATACACTGTATTAACAAACTGAAGGAGAAAAACCATATGATCATCTCAATAGATGCAGAGAAAGCTTTTGACAAAATTCAACATGCATTTATGATAAAAACCCTGCAGAAAGTAGGCATAGAGGGAACTTTCCTACTCATTCTGACACCACTGTCTCCAACCAGCCCTTCATGGATTCAGCCTTAATATAAAGAATACACTAAATCATGATAGATCTTAAAACAGTTCTGTTTTGTTGCATTAGTAAGTAGTAATGGAAAAACAGAACCCTGAAATATCATTGATTCTGAAATGTCTTTTATTTTTTTTAATGCAGAGTAGCTGTAGACATTTTCCTAAACTAGGACCTCATACCAGAAAATAAGTCCTCTTTTTTACATGATATCATTACTAATGGGTATTAATGGAGATGAATTTCTAAAGGTAAGAAAAGCAGCTATTATTTTAGAACTCTTAATTTGTGGCTCAAAGGGTGCGACTATAATTGCAGTTTTGTTTTCCATAAGATTTCTGTTGATATGAAATCATTTTAATAAAATGAGAAGAATTATTTAATTGCAGCTGTATCTGAATGGTGATAACTTGCTTAACTGTGCCTCTGGAAATCTTGACAACACTATTTTTATATAATACCACATCTTTTCTCCGTAAATAACATTTTTTGTTTGTAGTTTAGTCATTTCATGTCATTTCTACCTAAATTATTACCTGTTTTCAATTAGTAAAGTGGTAGGATCTAGTACTTAACAAATAAGCATTTTGTTATAGTATCTGGAATTGAGAAGGAAATATCTGCTTCTTCACATCTGTCCTTATTTTCTTTAAGAACACATTAGATTTCCTATTATGTTCTTAGTTAAAGAACTGGAAGTTTTCTGTGTTATTAATGCAAACTCTTGAGGACAGAAATCAGGATGTAGAGGAGGAAAGATTTGGGTAGAATTGTTTTCTAGTTTCTCTGATCTGTATCTTATGGCTCATTCATATAAACCAAAGCCTTGATGTGGATTTCGTTACCTTTAGGAGGGATACTGTGTGATGCTCCTTGTCAGTGAGCCTAGGCAGCCCCTTTGGCGTCTCAGAAGGGGAGAATACCTCGTTCACCCACCATTTCTTAGATGATGCTCTCCCTCGGGTGCCTATGGCAGACAAGCCCATCAAAGGCTCCATGTGTTTCCCATGAAACAGTCTCTGTAGCATCTTTGATTGCTCTTCATCCAAGTTGCTGTATGCGTAGCATTTCAACGATGGAATGCGATTTAGTAAAAAAAACACAAGTCCATCTCTACCAAAGAGTTTATGCAACCTCAGGAGTGCTGGCATCCAAAACCTCCTGTTAACAGACCTGTATGTCTTCCTGAATGTGAAACTGTCACCTCTTTGATCAGTAGGTCATGTGTGGCCCACACTGTTCAATAGCATCTGCACATTCCAACCCTCCCGTCTCTCCCCCCTCCCCCCCTGCCCACCCCCTACATTCATAGGTAGCACTGGGGAAGCTTCTCCAGAACCTTCTGTGCCTGGCTACACGCTGCACGTGCTCATCTCTGAACACGTGGTTGTGGGAAGTTCTCTACGCCTGTGCTTCGTGAGAATATTGGTCACATCACCACTTTACCAAAAATTATTTTCAAGTGCCTAGATAAGAACATTCAGTTCAAGTTCACCGGGTGAGAAAACAAGTCTTCGTGGCAGAGCTGGCACCATTTGGACTCCCATTGTGTGGCTCTGTCCAGGGCACCCTGACCACCTATACGATCCCACCCAGGACAAAGCTTAAGAAATGTTATCCTTTTTGATATTTACGTTATTAACTACTTAGTGTTTTTTTGATTATCCTCAGTCTCATTTTGGTGTGAAGATAAAATTTTGACAACAGTTAAATAAGGAGCAGGCGTTAAAGAGCAGCACAGTCAAGTAACACTAAGTGATTTACGAGGAGGAAGAAGAAAAATTCAGTACCCCCTCAGTTTATGTGTTATGGGTTTTATTTCTATTCTGATGCCTTTATTTATACATGGGAAAAGTCATACCCACAGAAATTAAAATGCATTATCCAAGTTCAGTGTAATTGCAGTTAGGACCCAGATTTCCTAACTTCCCATTCAATATTGTTTCCAATATGCTACACTGACTTCCCTTGCTTTGGAAAAGATGGTCATTTTATCATAAAAGTTAACTAAATCTGAAGCTAATATCACAGAACTGTGGAGAAGAACTGAATCAAGAAACTCTTAGAAAAAGTGGTGGGTTCCAATGAGAGTTTACTCTCAAATGAATCTGTAAGTGCCATGTATGATTCCTGGAAGAGTCTTTTCCTGGCACTAATACTGTATCAGTTGGCTTTGCTGCGTAACAAACCGTCCCAAAACCTAGTTGCTTAAAGCAACAGTCATTTATTATAGATATTACAACAGGTAGTCATTAGAATCGTACTGTAGCAATATTTGTACTTCTACCATTGAGCCTTCTGTAAGATCTTTGAGGTCCATTGTAATTAAATCTGTATACCTCTTAGGTGATGCAATAGAAGAAAGAGACCTTCTTCTACGTTTTAATGACTATCTTTTAAAAGGAAAGAGAAATTTCTTATTTTCTCTCACCTTTATTTCACTGAAGAATTAATGGAGTTTCATCATAATGTAATGTGTATTTACACTTTTTTTCTTTTAAGTCTAGATATGATGTTTATTAAATGTTTAAAAAGGAGTCATAGTTTCATAATTACAAATAGCATTTCTTGTGACCATCATACCACTGTAATGCCCTAATTGTGAAAGATTGAAATTTATGTTTAAATTATTTAAAAAGTATTTTTGTCACTAGTAATATTTTTAAGTTATTTAAAATATTTAATTTTTTAGTATTTAAAAGTATTGTTATCGATAATCATTTACATTGGGTTTTATAGATTTCAAAGTGTCTTCATGGGATTTAACTCTGTCATTTTTAAACTAACTAGATAGTGTCACTCTTCACCGTTCATGCTGCTTTATTGTCGAGTTTGCTTTTTATTTGCAATAGAAATTTTCAAGCGTAAGTTCCCAGATATTCTTTTGGGCTACTGATTATTGTCCAGAAAGTATGTTTATCTCTGCCCCCTTTTTGTTAGATTTCTGAAATGAGTCCATCCTGCGTTCGTAGTCGACGTGTCCTTTCCTTTGTGTGCTGTTTTTTGCTGCTAACGGTGAATCTTCTCTCCCTTTTGTTTGCAGTGTCTCAGTTTGAAACTGAATTCTACATCAGTGGACTGGCACCTCTCTGTGATCAGCTTGTTGTACTTTCCTATGTAAAGGAGGTTTCCGAAAAAACGGTAATTTTTTTTTCACCCCAAATACAATAGGGTGGGTTCATTTGTAGCATTTTTACCCAGATGAAGTTGCCCATGAAAGGACTCAGCTCCAGTCCGAGCAGAACTTCCTGACCTATAAAACGACGTCAGCAGAGATTACCCTGCAGGCTTAATGTACTTACGTTTCAGAAGCTCCACTCATTGGTTGCCTTTGTTCCTTTTGTCAAGCACAGGGGAGTCTTTTTTTTTTTTTTTTTTTTTTTTTCTTCCCTTTTTTCCATCTCTCTTGGTATTTTAGTCGAAAGGAATGAAGGATTCCTCTTGCCAAAAGGCCAAGAAACTAAACTGACACTGTGCATTAGCAGAAATGACAGCAATGAAGTTGATGTGTAGCATCAGCACGAGTCCCTGTGGTCAGAGTGAATTACAGAGAGGGTGGTCCATTATTTCCTGTGGTCCAGATATATTTGTTTACTTCCCAGTGGCCTAGTGATTCTGAGTAGCTTGATTCTTGCTTTGAAATTAGATTGTTGCTAAGTCTCGGTTATCACTGCAAATGATAGTATGAAATGTATGGCTCATAGGAAGCAGCAGAGACTCTGCATTTCATTATACATGATTTTGGAATGAAGCCGGTTATAGGGTCCAGCGGAGGGGCCTGCATACTGAATCTTTCTTTGAAGCCTAGGTCGGCCCCATTCCTAGTTTTTCTTTATTGTCAGAGCCCAGAGTTCCTGTCAGGAAGCAGCCAGGGGTGGCTTCAAGGCATAAACGAGAGTTTATTGTAAAGGATTTTCTTTGGGATGCTGTGGTATAAAAGAAATGCAATTGATCGTCTAGCTCTTTACAGTGAGTGGGTTCTCCTTGTCTGTATCCTCTCTCTCTCTCTCTCTCTTTTTTTCCTTTTCAGATAGCAAGGAATAAAATGGGGAGAAAAACCCTGGGAGTCCCGGTTTTGAAGTGGTAGCTGCTCTCCAACATTTCTCTGAGCGAGCTCTTGCATCAGGAAGCCATCGCTATAGTAACCTGGTGCCCATGTTGCTAGGCAATGGGATGCAGTAGACTTAAGTGAACACTCAAACCTGCTAAAATCAATAGGGCTGGCTTCTAGCCCTGTGCAGGACATCAGTTTATTATTATTTTATTTATTTATTTATTTGAAAATAAAGTAAAGCATTGGCTCCGCAGGGAGTAAATACAGTGCTTTTTGATGAGGAATGTGGGGAGCATTCAGGATATGATTGAAAGACATAAGAAAAGAGGCAGTAAAATGACAAAGGGAAGGCCTAATAAACGGTTGACCAAAGAAAGAAAGAAGGGAAGGAAACCTTTGTTAATAAGAGAGAGTATTGGAAAGGAGTAAAAACCAAGAAAAGCCAACCTCAAAGAGCAAATTAGAAAATGGAGTTTTTTCAGAGGAAGAAGTGAGGGTCTTGGAGGTGCTTTAAAAATGTGTGTGTCCGTGTATATAACTCTTCCTTTTCTCTAACACCAAAGGACACCTGAAATCCTTAAATACAGAAAGAACTGATCAAATTAAGGCAGAAGGAATAAAGAAGCAAGCTTGGGGCCAACCACGCCCCCCTTTTCTTTTTCACATCAAAAAGTTTAACTGCAACAGTAAACAGAATTCATTTTTGTATCAGTTGTAATGTTATCCCAGCATATTTTCCTCATTACACCTTTTACATATGTGCCTGTTCCCACACAGTTGCAGTGATAGTTACAAGCTCTTCTGTGTGGCCATAATTTTAGGAGCATCGTTCCATTCTCTCTGCATATGGCTGTGCAGTCTCCCGTCCTCTTTCTGGTGGTTGTGAACTGTTTCATCTGGTTGATATAACCTAATTTATGAAGCTGTTCCCTTAATGTTTTGTTTTTCTTCCATTCATTAATAAAGCATGTGTGTTAAGAATGGTGCTCAGCATGGAGTATCAGCGATCAACAAGACCAAATCCCTGCTCCTAGGCAGTTCACGCATAAACAGGGCTGTTAGACCAGTGAACAAAAGTTGTAAAATAATGATAAGATGGATTTCTCATCCATCACCTTGCTGATGGATTCCTTACACATATGAAGGAGCTATTTATATGGTCTAGCAAGGTGATTTTCTTTTAACATTATTTGGTTCCGTTTTTTTTTTTTTCTATTTTGCTCTTCTAATTTTGATATTTTCTGTCATTGTTATAGCTGTTAATTTTTTAAATAGTCAAAATTTTCAGGTTTTTCCTTTTTGTTGTTTTAAAAGCAAGATATTTGTCATTTCTCCACAGATGTGATAAATTATCCTGTATATTCACTGGAGTTTTTTCCTCTAATAGTGGATCTTTCATAATTGCTTTTTATTTTGGACTGTTTTAAATATATGAGATGCAAAGCTGACGTAATCACTTCTCAATTAACCTAACAAAATCGATCAAAGGAATCTTTGAGGCTTACTGTTTTACTGGGGAACCTTGGAGAGTTGGGAGTAGTTCTGGATTTCTTTCATTCTGTTCCTTTCATCTGTGTTCTCTATACCAGTGCCCCACTGCTTTAGGTCTTACTACTTTAGGTCTTGCTGCTTTGGAAAATAGTCAAGTGTATCTTTCATGCCTCTGTGCTGAATATTCAAAGAGCTTGAGTTTTATAGTAAAACAAACTTGATTTTAAATCCATAGTCCCAGTTTTTCCACAAATCCCAGTCTCACTGTTTACTTATACAACTTTGACCTCAGTAAACTTTTCGATCCTCAGTTCCTTCATCTGCAAAATTAGGAAGAACAATACTTACTGAAGGGTGATTTAAGGACTCAGTGAGAAGAACCTGTGGACAGTCACCTACTAGGCTAGTGAAATTGTCATAGGCCCTCAATAAAGCATCTTTTCCCCTTCTGTCTTGATCTAGAATGGCAGTGTCCAAAACTGTAGTCATTAAGCTATGTGCCTATCCAAGTTGAAATTAATGAAAATGAAATAAAATTTAAAACTCAGTTTCTCAGGCACAGTCATCACATTTCAGGTGTTTGATGGCCACTCGTGACTCATGTCTACCACGCTGGGCAGTACAGGCACAGAACATCTACATCATCTCAGCAAGTTTTGCTGTAGACGTAACTCTTAGTCTCTGGCTTCTCAGCATCCCCAGTGAAAGGACTAGTAGTGGCAGTGGTCTGGATCATGGAGCAGTTTATAATGTAATTTTCACTCTGTCTCATATTTGTGAGGAAGATGTAACAGAGTTATCTAAGGATGTGGTAGCCATCCCTTGGAGTTGAAAGGGCTGCAGTGGTGGACCACTGATATAGTACAGTGGTACATGTCCTGTGTATCTCATCCAAGAGGTCAAAATAAACCACTGCTATGAGGCCGTCCACGGCAGGTGGTGAGAAAGGCTTACACCTGCCGAATTTACAAAACCAAAGCACTTAATTATGGCTACCTAGAATTAATTTGTATCATTTTTTTAAAAATATGCTGTGACACTTGGCCACTTAGTATCCATGTGATCTTGCACAAGGCACTACTTTTCCTTTTTTTTTCCTAATTATTTATTTCTTTTTGGCTGCGCTGGGTCTTCGTTGCTACGAGCGGGCTTTTCTCTAGTTGCGGCGAGCGGGGGCTACTCTTCATTGGTGCGTGGGCTTCTCATTGCGGTGGCTTCTCTTGTTGCAGAGCACGGGCTTCGGTAGTTGTGGCACGCGGGCTCAGTAGTTGCAGCTCATGGGCTCTAGAGCACAGGCTCAGTAGTTGTAGCACACGGGCTTAGTTGCTCCGTGGCATGTGGGATCTTCCCGGACCAGGGACCAAACCCGTGTGCCCTGCAGTGGCAGGCGGAGTCTTAACCACTGCGCCACCAGGGAAGTCCCTAATTTGTATCATTTATAGAAATGTAATTCAAATGAGACTTTCTTTTTCCCCTTAGGAAAGAGAATACTGCACCAGACCGACCAAACCCGTGTGCCCTGCAGTGGCAGGCGGAGTCTTAACCACTGCGCCACCAGGGAAGTCCCTAATTTGTATCATTTATAGAAATGTAATTCAAATGAGACTTTCTTTTTCCCCTTAGGAAAGAGAATACTGCACCAGACCCAGACTGGATATCATCCAGCCTCTTTCCGAGACTTGTGAAGAGATCTCTTCTGATGCTCTGACTGTGAGAGGCTTTCAGGAAAATGAATGTAGAGATTATCACTTAGGTGAGAGACATCAAGGATCTCACTCATGTTATTTCTTATATTTATGTTTTTTCCCCTCCACTTGAGTAGCACAACCAGGAATTTAAATTAAGGTGCTGAAAGGCTCTTGGAGCTTATCTGGGCAGGCCTTTTATGTTGAAAATGAAGGCGTCAAGGCCCAGAGATGCTTGAGTTCTCACAGCAGAAGGGAGGCGTAGAGATGAGGCCAGGACCAAGGTGAGGAGGCTTTGTGGCCTTTGTTCTTGTATTTGGTCTCCTGTCCTAACTATTTCATGTGACACCTGACTTACACTGATGCCAGGCAGCATGGTTCTCTAGCTGGCGTATCACTCCCAACTTTATATCCCTAGAAGGTGTACTCTGGGTTGCCAGAGAAATTGTCTTTGTTTGACCGAATGCTCAGAGCTTGAGAGAGCGCCCGGTACATACTAGGCTTTCACTGAGTATTTGTTGAGTGGATGCATGAATGCACTTAGTCACTGCTTGGAAATAAAGGGAGAACCATTGCTTTGTAGTCATACCAGGGGCCTCTGTGTTTTAGTGTCATCATATCCTTGAAAACTACGTTGATGAAAAAATAGAACAGCTTTGGCTGTTGAGAAATTCTTTCCTGCTTTAAAAACAATAGACATGTTTTGAGAATATTTTCAGTTCTCATTTTGGTCAATGAAGAAATATCCTATATCTGTTAGAGCTTTCTTATATGAAGCCCTTGATCAGCTGAGAAATGGGAGTGTATATTCTGGACTTAGCAAAAAGCAAATGTGATTCACAAGTGAAAGCATCCAGTTGAGGTATTTTTTGCTCAGAGCAAACTCTGCTGCACATTTAGAAACCCTTCAGAACAGGTTTTATAATTGAATTCTTCAGGAAACCCTTACCATCGGCATTGTGCACAACATGCTGAAATGATAGATGATGTCTCCAGGGCTTAGGGCATCTGTCATTTATGCTTTAGATGGCCTTGACCTTGAAGAGGAGGAAACATTTATCGCCAACTGTGGGGTGTAATTGTTCTGTAAAAACAGAACTGTGCTGTAAATGGCCATCAATAAAGTTTATATACAGTAGATAAATTATATACAATAGACCTGGAGAATTTTGAGCGCTGTCTTTCAGCTGACGTCAGAACGTTAATATATGAAACAGAATTTTTAAGCCTACCTTATTTTTTTCAAGTTTTTCTGGTACTTCCTCCCTCATCCCTCCCTTCCTTCCTCCTTTCCTTCCTTCTTTTTTCATTCAAATCATTTTACGTGTAAATTTTTTTTTTTTTTTTTTTGCGGTATGCGGGCCTCTCACTGTTGTGGCCTCTCCCGCTGCGGAGCACAGGCTCCGGACACGCAGGCTCAGCGGCCATGGGTCACGGGCCTAGCCGCTCCGCGGCATGTGGGATCTTCCCGGACCGGAGCACGAACCTGTGACCCCTGCATCGGCAGGTGGACTCTCAACCACTGCGCCACCAGGGAAGCCCACGTGTAAATATTTTTTAAGGCACTGGAATAGACTCTATCATTCTCTACCCTGTCTCCCACCCCTACCTTCAAACACAGCCAAACACATTTATTCCAAAGGTAAGAGTTTTCTGTTGACTTGTAAGTTGGGTAGCCTAACCCTGTCCCCCCCAAACCACTGCCAAGGTTTCTACTGTTGAGTCACCCAAGTTGTTGCTCTCTTATTTCTAGAATACTCAGAAGGGGAGTCACTGTTCTACATTGTGAGTCCAAGAGATGTTGTCGTAGCCAAGGAACGAGACCAAGATGACCACATCGACTGGCTCCTTGAAAAGAAGAAATATGAAGTACTCTTGCTTTTACTTAAAAGTATTGACACGTTGGTAACAGGGAGGGGCTAAAAGGGTTTTGTAATAAATCTTTCACGTAGGTGAACTAGAATGTTCTAAGCTAGTAATATGTAGGAGGCCAATAACTTTCCGATACTCTTCACAAGTTAGGGGGAATAAAGACTGCAAGGAGGTTGACTGGCCTTACTGTTCAGTGGAAGAGGCATTGGTGATGGAGGGAGGGGTGGGTTCGATCCAGCCTACTGATAAGTTTATTTGGTGGTTTTTCAAGAAGAATAAAATAAAGCTAGTATTTCAGAATCATCCATTTGGATATTTTAGTGAAATCATTTATTTTGTGCTTATATCATGTATAAAAAGTAAAGCTATCAAACTGTACTCAGGAGGGTTTGAACTACCTGTCCAGATGGAATGATGTTGTCCACGTCATTGAGTCTTGGTTCAGACTAATTTGAGTAGATAATGCCCCATCATGGCTTTTTTTAAAAAAGGAAAACATTTTAAAGTTTTAATAGCTGCAAAGGTATTATTCTGTTGGTTTAGTTAGAGAAACTCTCTGGATAGTCTTATATGCTAATCAGCCAAAAACAAACAAAAAATGGTCCACTTATTTGGTGCTTTAAGTTTGTAACCACCTGAAAGGATTTGGGAAAAAAAGTTTTTAATTTATAAACTCGTTGGAGTCCAGATATTGATACCACGCTCATACCCCAGTTATTACCATTATTGCTTTAGATCCAGCAGCTTCTTGAAGAAATAATTTTGTGTTTCAAACATTTTTGTTAAAGTAATCATTGTAAACTTACCAAAATAAAAATAAAATCAGAGATTTTCAAAATCTTAGTGTAGTTGTACCTAAATGTATGCATATAGGTTACTTTTTATGCTTCATAAAGGAAAAGTGCCCCTTGATTAATATATGTCATACAGATTTAGAATGACAGATTTTTTTGTTTGAACATAAGAGATTTTGTTGTATTTTGAGTTGCGTCTGAAATGTGATTCCAGGGTCCTAATGTGGAAATGAATTCAAATGGAAATAAGAGAAGTCTTCATTTTGGTTGACTGCTTTTGTTTGAGTTTGAATTCAGTGAGGTTCACTCAACCATAACATTAAACATTCCTGTGCTTGAAGCAAAAGCCATGGGAAAATGGGGCTTATTTATGTAGCCCAGAACGTTAAAACATAATAAATATAGTGTTTATAACCTCAATGTCTCTCTCTCCCACTCTCTCCCCTTTTCCCTTCCTCCTTTTCGACTGCTTTTATCATGCTTATGTAAATACAGGAAGCTCTGATGGCAGCTGAAATTAGCCAGAAGAACATTAAAAGACATAAGATTCTGGTAAGTATGTAATTTTACTATTTGAAACATAACTTTACTCAATAAGTTATAATAAGGCTGAAAGTAATTTGAAAAGAACGGATTCTTGCTACCTTTTGAGAAGTTATTTCAAGCGAATTCCCTAACCTGTGAGGTCAAAATAGTTCATTTTATTGAATCAGTTTCTGCTTGTAAACAAGAAACTTGAACAACTGCTAGGAGATAGTTTTAGGTGATTTGGAAACTGGTTTTATAAATACACTCTAAATACAAAGCTTTCCAGTTATGCGGGGAAGTTTCTTTAAATCACAGGTAAAACCACATTATCATGAAATTTATCAAAAGAGTAGTTTCATAAAACTAGACTGCTTCAGTGTCTCTATAAGAACAGGCTCAATTTATTTTGTTATGGTGACTAATCTAGGACATCAAATATATTTTTATTACATTTTGGACTTGGGAAAAATATTGTGAGTGAAAGCCCATTTCTTTGCTAACTGTGAAAATGAATGTGCAGATGGAAAGCAGAAAAGAAATGTTATCCTCTGAGTGTGAAGGGTCCTTAGAGATCATCTAGCCCAAGACCCTAGTTTACAGTTGAAAACTGGAAACTTAGTTATTTCTGGCTATTTGGGTTCCAGTGCAAAGTCCTTCAGCCTACACTTTCCCCACCTTAAACTTCTCTTTAAAACTTGCCAAAAAAGCCTAATTCCCAAAGAGTACACAAGCAAAATAGTTCAGGAACTAAAAGGGAGAGAGAGAACGAGAGCATCTTACATTGTTTTATTCATTCATAATTGTAGAGAATAAGCAAGGATTACCTAGAAATGGAGTATTCCAGCCAGTGGAAGAGTACAGTTGAAGTAGGCAGGTCAAAAGTAAGATAAGCTTAGCTTAGTCAGTTGTACATTGGATTTGGTAATATGAAAGTGACAAGTGCATTTTCTGTATATATTATTTATTCTCAACATGCTTGGTGGAGTGAAAGTGAATAGGAGATGATGAAGTTGAGTTGAATATAGACTAAGGCTAGCCTCGAAGTGGAAAAGAGTCAAGACTGTGTTTGGGGACTGTGACATCATGGGGAGGTTTTGGGTGATGGTGGGTATTTCGTGTAAGACATTTAACGTGCTTATGCTTAAGGAAAAAGAGAGAAAATCAGGTTGAGGTTAAAGGAGCACAGAGACAGAGGGTGAGTTGGGAGGGAGCATGGACATGGGGAGAAAGGTTATAGAAATTGACTCTTCAAAAGAGGCATCTCTTCTCTGAACCTGTAGATACTGTGGTATGTGATCTGTTTTTAGAGAAATAAAGTTAAGCACCTTTCCTTCACTCTGTAGTTCCAACAGATTTCCTACACAGTAGTCATTAAAGTGAAAGTTGAATAAACTAAGAACTTTGGGTATTTCCCTTCACTCTTGAAATGGGCATGCCCTTTACATTAATCACGCCTGGACATTTTTCTCCTAGGATAAGGCAGGCAGAGAGAAAAATGGGCTCCTGCCATTTCTGCCATCCAGTAAGAAGCTCCGCAAAAAATTATTTGTGCATAAAGTAGAACTTAAAATCCAAGTTTTGTTATATATATTGAGTTCAAGCTTCTCATGCAAATGCTTTGAGGTGGAACTGATCTTTCATAAGAGTCATGAGGCGATCAAGCAAGAGGTCCCCCGTCTCTGGTGACACAGGCCACCTCAAATCCTTTCAGGACTAAGGTAGAATAACTGAATGAGCACGAATCCTGCAAAGCCAGTCAGTGCGTTGCTTTGAGCTCCAGTCTCCTCATCTGTAAACTCGTGGGTTTGAATGACCTGGTTTTCTGAGCTCGTTTTCACTTTGTTGTTAACTTTAAATACTTCCCTTTCAAATGATCTGTCATTTCATTTTTCCTGCAGCATTCCCTCAGACTTGGTATAGAAGAGACAGGTAGCTCACGTTTTAGGGATGAAAGCACAAGAAACAATTTTATATCCAGTGACAACATGAAACTGTTGGATCATGTTTGTTAGAGATTTCTTTATAGGAAATTTCTTAGAAGAGGGCAGGCTAGGAGCCTTTAAAGTAGTAACTTTTTTTTGAAATTGTAAACTCTAAACCTTGTGAGAATACAAGTATATTTAAATATGCTCAAGAAAGAAATAAGCATAATTACGTAAAGCAAACTAAGATGTATGAACAGGTTCCAGTCAGCGGGCCCACTCAGGAACGGAGACCCAACTTTCCATGTGTTCCAGTTAAGTATGAAATTCCTTCATTTCCCCTAGGACATCGGCTTGGCATATATAAACCACCTGGTGGAGAAAGGAGAGTACGACATAGCGGCACGGTAATCGAGATGTTTTCACAATTATTTGTTAATATAAATAGAATTGAGCCATGTTAGCAGTACAAATAAGTCATTCTCTACAGCTGACAGACATTTTTTTACATCTTTCTAACAGGGGTTATTTTTGAATAGTAATGCTTTTAACCACAGAATGGATTGATACATGTTATTTACCCACCTACTGTCTCATTTGCACTAAACGAAAAATGGTTTTCTCATTATTTAATGAGAAGGGTGTCGGAAGTCATGAAGAGTCTGATATTTTACCCTTTTTATAAGCTGACAAGTTTGCCTGCCAGTTTCATGAGTGCTGGCAAAAGACCTGATACTCCGGGGTCAGAGACACAGGACCGTCTACCTCAGCAGTAGTCGTGGCCAGAGTACCAGCACTTTCTCCAGATCCCACAGCATGAGGCAGAGAGGCCCGGGTGACCCTGCCCAGGCAGCAGGTTGCGTTACAGGAGAGGGACCCTGGGCTTAGGGTGTCTGATTCTTTTATAATGGGCAGTAAGCCTGCCTGCCCTTGGCTCCAGAGGAAGATGTTATTTTCATTTTACTGGGCAGTAAACAAACCTGCCCTGTGCTCCAGAGGGAGACACAGTCTGTGTCCTCTCGCCTCCAGGGCTGTTCACGCTACAAGCATCCCAGGAGAAACAGGACAAAAGGGAAAAGAGAGAAAAAGAGACAGGTTTTTGCAGGACAAAAACCTAAATGGTCTGTAGTGGTCGTGTGGGTCTGTGTGGGCAGTTCCCCCTCGAGCTGCGCAGTGCCATCTGCAGGACTGCGTGGCTGCCCAGAAACAGTCTTCAGGGCCACTTTCTGTCCCCTGATTGAGGGAAATGTGTTTCTTTGATGTGTAAATCAAAGTTTTATTCATACATGAACATTTTTCTGAATTATGTACTGAAGTAGGATTCTAATTTTCTAAAGTCTGATTTTGTAGTCCACTATTTAAAGCCATTGAAAAAGTGGTTTCATTGACACTATTGGGTACGATGATATTTCTTCAAGGCAAGAAGGGTCCCCAGACCAGCAGCACTCATCTGGATAAGTAGGAAACTCAGAACAGAAAAATCAGTGGGAAAACCCCTAATCAAAGTCTTCTGAAAGGGATTCATCTTTATTTATAAGTATTTTTTATTTTCATGATTTCCATCAACTTTGTATATGCAGTCAAGTGAGTACCAGTAATACCTTTATGTTCATTGGCACTTGAAATGGAAATTTTTCAAAGTTCTGGGATGAGAGATTTATCTAAACCACTAGGGGAAATGTCTACTTATTCTGTCTCTGTTTGTTTTCTTTATTTATACTTTCTTTTCCCTGGGATGTTTTTACTGCCAGCAAATGCCAGAAAATTCTTGGGAAAAATGCAGCACTCTGGGAATATGAAGTTTATAAATTTAAAGAAATTGGACAGCTTAAGGTACGCATAGCTTTATTTTTAACTTTTTAATTTTTGTATGTAGTATATTAATATTGAGATGGAAATAAAATTAATAATAATCAGTTCTTTATTGGGAAGCGAGTACTATTCCAGCTAGAAAGAAAAACTTTTAGAAATTAGTTACCAAATAGAAATCTGGTTTATATTTTATGTGCATAAAATATATACAAATGTATTACATATATGATATGTTCACTTTCTTATCTCCCTCCAATTCCCTCTGTGTTCAGATGGAAGTTTTCATGTTCTTTTTAATGAATGTGGAAAACAGGTATAGTCTCATCACAGTAGATTATAATAAACATAAGCCTTTTTTCACATGTACTGAGGAATTAGTGCATTTTCCAACATCTTACTTGCTGGAAGACAAATGGAAAATTTTGACCAGGTAGCTCGAACAAATAATTTCGATATTTCATTTTTTTTAATCTTTCATTTTGGTTTACAATATCTAAACTAATCAATAAAGTATTCCTATGTCTGGAGATCCGTTTAAAACATTTTTTAAAAACTTTTCAGTATTTGTGAGGCTTTTCAGTGTTCTCTTAGAATTATGAACATGCTTTTAAAAATTCCAGTTATTGGGCTTCCCTGGTGGCGCAGTGGTTGAGAGTCCGCCTGCCGATGCAGGGGACGCGGGTTCGTGCCCCGGTCCGGGAGGATCCCACATGCCGCGGAGCGGCTGGGCCCGCGAGCCATGGCCGCTGAGCCTGCGCGTCCGGAGCCTGTGCTCCGCAACGGGAGAGGCCACAACAGTGAGAGGCCCGCATAACGCAGAAAAATAAAACAAAAACAGATTCCAGTTATTCAGCTGGCCAGCCCTGTGCCTTGTCCTCTGCTTGTCCCGTAAATGTAACTCTTCTCCAGGCGACCCTCAAGGACACTTCTCGTCATGTTTATTGGGGTGACCTTGGGGGATCTTCTCTAGTCCTATGGCCATGTTGACCACGATGGCTCCATCACCCAGACCTCTATTTTGAATTCCTTATCTATGTTGGAAGCGTGTGATGGACATTTTTCCTTGTGTGTACATGCTGCTGAGAATGATTACTCAGATTAATGTGAATCCATTTCCCTCCCAAGTTTGGTCCTTCTCTTTTCAATCTGTGTGTACCACATCACAGTATACTCATTTCTCCATGCTTAATAGCTCAAAGCCACTGTCTGGTTTTTTTTTAACATCTTCATTGGAGTATAATTGCTTTGCAGTGTTGTGTTAGTTGCTGCTGTATAACAAAGTGAATCAGCTATACGTATACATATATCCCCATATCCCCTCCCTCTTGCGTCTCCCTCCCACCCTCCCTATCCCACCCCTCTAGGTGGACGCAAAGCACCGAGCTGATCTCCCTGTGCTGTGCAGCTAAAGCCATTGTCTTGATGAGAACATCTAACTCACCTCCTTATTCTGTTTTATCTCCAATTCTCATCAGTTTCACTTTGTCAGTACCAGTTGGGCCTCTTCTCCCCCTCCGGTACCACTGCCTTAACTCCCGCCTGAGCTACCGCAAAGGTCTTCCGGCAGATCTATAGACAACCCTAACCCACAGTTAGCCGTTTAAAAACTAAATGTGCTCCTCGCATTTCCCTCCTGCTCAGAGCATAACATCTGAATCCCTTTCATGACCCCACGTCACCTTCCTCTTCAGCCTCATCCCCCTCCCGTGACCCCCGTCTCACATGTCTGAGCCATGCTGACCTCCCTGCATGCAGAGTGTGCATTCATGGTTCCATGCCTTCGCCCATGCTGTTCCCTCTACCAGGGTGCCCTTCCCCCTCTCTCTTGGCCTGACAGGCCCCTGGCATCTGTCACTTCTGCTTCAGTCTCCAAGATCCACCTCGCCACAGCATCTTGTTTGCCCCTCTCTCAAGACACTTAGCACGCAATACTGCAGCTGGCTGTTTAGATATCTGCATATCTTCCCTCTGAAGCTGTGAGCTCCTGGGGACAGTGCCTGGAGCTCTGGGTCCCCAGGACAGAGCATGGTGATTGGTGGGCAGTGCACTGCAGAACCATTTACAGTGTTTGGAAATTCAACACTTAACACAGTGCTGAAGTAGATAAAAACACAAGGTTTATTTTCCCTTAATTTCAGATGATGATTATGGGTTTTTAAAGGTTGATGTATTCCATTTTAAGGGAAAAAAAAAGATGAATAGATGACCTATAACTCCTTGATTACTTAAGAAGTTGACTTTTATCATCATTCTCCCTCATATTACTTAGATTTTCATTAATTCGTCAGGAAGAACAGAGGGATAACGTTTAACTTAATAGAGGCAGTGTCTTTTATTCATTCATTCATTCATGTAGACACCTTATCTATACTTTTTAAAATGTATTGTAACATGTTATAAGAAGGTAGAGCTTATTTGAATCTTTTCTCTTCGTAATATTTTTCCAAAGTACTCTGTTGCCTTAAGTTTTTAAAGTAAATGTATATTTTTATATTTGCTCCCTCTTTGGAGTACAGTTTTATTTTGCTATCTTTTAAAGATTTTTTTTTTTGCCTTTTCCTTCCTTAGGCTATTAGTCCTTATTTGCCAAGAGGGGATCCAGTTCTGAAACCACTCATCTATGAAATGATCTTGCATGAATTTTTGGAAAGTGATTACGAGGTATGACATTCCAACATGGTCAAATTGTTCTCAGTGAAAAATGTTATGAAATCTAGAAGAATAGTACACTGGAGCAGCTGGCTTAAAGGCAGCAGATTTGCAGTTTCTCTGTGGTAGATGAAACTGAGATACATACACTCTGATGACCACTGATTATTATTATTATTTTTTTTTTTTTTTGCGGTACGCGGGCCTCTCACTGTTGTGGCCTCTCCCGCTGCGGAGCACAGGCTCCGGACGCGCAGGCTCAGCGGCCATGGCTCGCAGGCCCAGCCGCTCCGCGGCATGTGGGATCTTCCCGGACCGGAGCACGAACCCGTGTCCCCTGCATCGGCAGGCGGACTCTCAACCACTGCGCCACCAGGGAAGCCCACCACTGATGTTTGCGTGGACCTTGTTAGAGAAAATGTCTAATCCATGGACATTTTGAATATTTCCTTAAAGCTACCTCCTCGATAGAGCTAAAGGGAAAGGACCAAGTGCCATTTGGGGGAATTCATAAATAGAATAGCATCTGCTAATGATGCTTTTACTACCCTTAAAGAATTCAGAACTTTCTAAAACTTGAGTCTCAGAACTAAGTTTGCCAAAGGAGGATTGCGGAGAAATTGGGACACAGGTAGGGGGAAGGGGATTGGAAATGATCTGTTTTGCTTATTGTTTAAGGAGAAAGGTGGTACTTAAACTGCTTATCTACTGTACACGCTGCACTTTTACATGCATGTTGTGATATTATACTCCCAGCAACACTATACATAGTAATATCCAATTTTACAAAGGAACTAAAAATTAAAAAAATTAAATAACTTGCCTAAGGCCATCCATAATAGGTATGCCTGGGTTTGACTTTAAATTTGGTGTTTGCATGCACCCAAAATAGATGATAATTTTTTAAGTTCCTTTAAAATGTATTTATTCAGAAAGTCTCTGTTCTGTGCCTACTGTATTCCAGGAATGTGCTGGGCACTAAGCATGCAGATGTGAATGAAATGATGCGCATTTAGCGATAGCTCTAGTCTGAGTCACACCCAAGCATAGAAACCAGCAGTTCTCAACAGAGGTGGATCCCCCCCCCCCCCCCGCCCCCCAGGGGACATCTGGCAATGTCTGGAGACATTTGTGATTGTCACAACTGGGGAATTGGCACTACAGGCATTTAGTGGGTGGTGGCCAGCAAGGATGCTGCTAAACATCCTACAACACACAGGATAGCCCCCCTATGACAAAGAATTATCTGTCCTCAAGTGTCAACAGGACTGAGTTTGAGGACCCCTGATATAAACAGATAAATTATTACGTTACATGCTGGGTGCTCTAATAAAGCTATCCACGAAATGTGGTGGGAAGACTCAACGTTCACCCGCTTCTGACTAGAGGAAAAGGTGGTATTTCTCGTGGGCAGGTTCTAGACAAGGCTGGTAAGCTCTTTATCAGAGCTGGTGCTGAGACGATACATAAATCAGGAGCTATCGGACCACCGACTGCTGTTCTCCAGCTTCTGCCCAAACTTCAAAGTCTTTCATAAAAGTGGCACCATCTTAGGCTCCTTATAAAGTTCAGGGACCTAACCCAGTGATCAGTTTTCACTTTTGCTACCTCACTGTATGTTGCAGGTTGTCACTGCCTCCGTACATTCTGATGTTATGTTTTGAAAATAAGGAAGACTTTATTTACAGCTTTTCTCCTTCCCACAAGAATGCGGAGTGGCTTGCGGAAAGGTTAATAGATAGAATGGAAATTCCCTAGCAGTCCAGTGGTTAGGACTCCGCACTTCCACTGCAGAGGGCCTGGGTTTGATCCCTGGTCGGAGAACTAAGATCCTGCATGCTACATGGTGCGGCCTTAAAAAAAAAAAAAAAAAAACACCAGAAAGAAAGGTTAATAGATAGAAAGAGACAATCAGAGATGGAATGAGAAAAAGAACTCCTGTGTTTTGAGTGCCTACTGAGAGATACTTTTTTAACAAATAACTGATTCAATTTAAGGAGGAGTAATAATGCAAACACTATATTTTAACTCTGAGATGGTTTTTAGAGCTTAAGCTCTAAAGGGACCTTTAAGGGACCTTTAAGCTCTAAAGGGACCTTTAAGTAATAATGCAAACACTACATTTTAACTCTGAGATGGTTTTTAGAGCTTAAGCTCTAAAGGGACCTTTAAGATGGTACACTTTTATCCTGATAACTCGCACACTTTGTCAGTCACTGTCGGCCACATGTTCCTGGATACGTCAGATTCAAGCATCCTGATGCCTGTGTGACCTATGTAGTTCCTTTACTGTTCCAAGCCTGTATTCTTATCATAGGAAGGGACTACGTGCTTTCGGATGAATTAAACTTGAACAACGTATTTCTTTAATAACTGTACAAACTAATGAAGGCGGCATCTCTTCATGCTGTCTTATCACCATGTGCTCTGTTACGATAATCCGGTCTTCCCTACCAGCATGGATCTGTTCCTTTCCAGTTCTGTGCGGAAGAGTCTATGGTAATAGTTTCTGCCATTTGTGCTAGGTGCCAACTGCCAGAGTCTCGGAGCTTGGTTTCTATTCATTTCCTATTCAGTCCAATTCAGCACATCTTTATTTAGAACCTACCGTGGTCAAGAATTGGGCTGAGTACTTATTTGGATCCAAGAGAAATAAAAACACAGTCCCAGGCTTCAGTGGGCTTACAGACTGACTGAGGAGACTGTGTTAATAAGCTTTAAGCAACTAGAAAATAAGTAAGACAGGCAGAGCAACGTGTTTTAAGAGATCTAACGAGAGGCCATTATTGGCCGTAGTTATTGGAAAAGGTTTCTTCTGTGAAGAAAGACTTACAGTGGACTTCTCTTTCTTTCCAGTATGTTCTGAGTACACAGAGTGGCTGTCATAAATTTTCCATCTTTGTACATCTTCCCAAAAGAAAGAAAATTATGAGTGTTCTGTGAAAATGATGGAAAGAGTATGAGCTTTATTTTGAAATACCGAAGCTTAGTATACTTGTCCCGTTTTTAAAGTAATGTAATTTAACCATAGAAAAGCAATTTTATTGTTTGTATGACTCTGTTACAATTCATGATTCAACACTCATTTTTTCAAGAAACTGTTTTAAATCCTGTATCGTTAAAGGTGTCTTGTTAATTCATATCTGGAAAACTTTTGAGTGAGACTGAAAGAAATAAGCATGACTCAAAGCTTGTAGATGTTTTCTCCTGAATATTTTAGGGTGTCTGCCTGGTCAGTACTATTAAGAAGTTTATAAATAATTTGGTTTGTCATAAGCTCTTATAAATAATTCGCATTTTAGCTTCCATCGTTCTCCGTTTCATGTTTAATTTTGAATTGTCACATAATCAGATAGCAGTGTCCTGTAGCAACATTTTTGATCACCTATAATGTGGATGCAAATTTTGTGCTGCTAAATATAGCACTAAACGTCAGATTAAAAATAAAAATATGTGAACAGTATCTTCTTGGAGGTACTGTTTCTTCATAACTTCTTTGTACGGGGTTTCTACTGAAATGCATACAGCTTTGCCTTTTAATTTACAGCCTAGCAGAACTATTTTAAATAGTGAAGTTTTGCTTCATAATATTAATGACAAATGTATAAGCATGTTAAAAATGGGACAGTTTCTATGGCATTTCATTGAATGAATAGTCTTTAATCCTACAGAAAGACCCGAACGAACTTTCTGACCAACCCGATATGATGGGCACCAGGGGGTTCTCTGATTTTGCCACTGGATCGTAATAGCTCCCTGATTACTCTGTCCTCTAATTAATGATAAAGGCCCCAGGGGTGATTTCATCAGTATTTTTTAGCACATTTATTCAAAGGTACACAAAACCAGTTAAGCAGAGAAAAGCCTAACGTGAAATGTGATCAATGTTTATTTCAGTTTACTTGGAGTCCTCAGGTTTTTATCACACAACATGACCTGTCATTTTGTCTTATTTTGTAATTAGAAGTTGGCAGTACTGCCAGGCCGTTGCCCGAATCATGGAAAAGAGGAAAAGGAGCCAGGCTTTCTTCTTTTCCTGAACGGTATTACCTCTGGTTTCAGGTCTACTGAGAGCTGCCAGTATTGGGGTGGAAATCTTTTCAGGACTTTTATCTTAGAAATTGCAGAGTCTTAAGAAAACAGAAACTTGATCCAACATATTTTGATTCAGAGAACATTTCAGTGCTCTGGTTTCATAGTTTTATGAAACGCATCCTCTTTACTTCGTGACTGTCCTCCCCAAATCTCTCAAATCAAACTGCAAATCATGTTCATATGAAGGAAGGCTGCAGTCTGAATGGAAAATGTGCAGCCTCTTCTGGTCTTTTGCCATCCTTGCTAGGGGTTTCTTTGGCAGAAAACAACTCTATCCCTGATTGTTTCTGTGATTTTCTTCTTAGCAAATCCTGGTAGTCTATAGAAGCAAATTCCACCACACAGTTTTCATTTCTAAATATCATTTAAACCAATTCAAAGTAGTTCATTAAAGCATTTGTTGAGTTATTTAATATAAATAATATGATTTTTTTCAATAATGTGAAGATTTTTACTTCTATTTGCTACCTTTGAAAACATCTACAGTTTTCTTTTGTTTTTTTTTTCCCTAAAAGTTGTCAAGGATCAGTAAGTAAATAGCTCCCCAATACTTTGAGTCACGGGGGCTAAAGTTGAGAACCAGGATGGCACGGCTGCCCAGAACACTGGCCAAGAATCAGCCCTGGAGGGAAACAGGATCCAGTCAGGGGGTCTGGACTTTTCTCTCAGAATCACAAAATTTGAGATCGAGAGAGAGTCAGGGTAAGAGCAGGGGACAGACTTGAACCAGCGTCCTAAATCCCCAAACAAAACTAGGTTTAGAGGCATGAGTGGAAGGAAGATGGAGATGATAACCTGTTGAAGGTGGGATGCCGGGTGATTCCACTGTGGAGGCAAAGCCACTGTGTGCTCAGTACTGGCTGTGCAGCTGACTTGGACAGTATCTGTAAGCTGTTAAAGATGTCCTCCAAGTGTTACCGCTAGTCCAGAATGAGGAGAGAACAAGTCAGACCTAAATTCTGCCTCTGCAGTGGCACTTGATGGAAGGACCTGGGGGCCTTGCTTCCTTGTGCATTTCATCCAATCACAAGAGAAGGGATGGCACCGCCTACCTCTCAGGAATGGCGAATGGGGATGCGTATGCAGACATTGCGTGCCTCCCTCACCACCCATGAAAATTGATGATATGTTTATGGACCAGTGTTTTAACCCTAACGTGATCTTATCTGTTTTCCATGAATAGTTTTAGGAATTGTATGAACTCTTTGGATTGTTCTCCTGTTTAAAGAGTGTTCTTCCTCTGTTCTCCCCCTTGGTTAGGGTTTTGCCACACTGATCCGAGAATGGCCGGGAGATCTGTACAACAATTCAGTAATAGTTCAAGCAGTTCGGGATCATCTGAAGAAAGACAGTCAGAACAGAACCTTACTTAAAACCCTGGCAGAATTGTGAGTATATTTTAGCGCTTCTTTTTTCCAAATCAATCTACATGAAAAGTCTTTCCTGTTTTAGATCTGTCAAACTGAATTGGGAGGATGCAGATCTGTACTATTTTCCTATATTCACTCTTAGTAAAAGTCTTTCGTAAGCCTCCGGTCAACAACGAGAACATGAGGTAAGGAAATTGTGTGAAACTTACAATAGTAATGTCATCTGCTTCCCAGAGGAGAGGAACCCTAACCAGAATCACTTGGTAGAGGCAGTGGTTCAGGTAGGGAAGGGTGCCAGGTCTTAGACTCCTCAAGCAAATCAGGTTCCCAGTGAGGTGCTGGATTCTGTCATTCTTGGTTCTGCAAGTCAGTAAATTTCTCAAACCACAGACTCTTTATCTATAAGATCACAGGTGACAATTCCTTATGGGATGGTTTTCATGAGATTCTGGCATGATACCACTACACCAGAGGTGCAAGGGATGGTTTTAGTGAAGTTTCATCATCAACAGCTAAGTGCAGTGCCTGGCACTGAATTAGGGCTCAGAAAACGGAAGCCTGGTTAATGCTTTTCATATTCGTTGGGTGCTTTCGGTGACCCGGGCTTTGTGCCATATGCGTCTGATGCAGACGTAGATAAAGATACACCCATGCCCTCTAGGAACTTTGGTTTAGTGAGACAAGCAGCACACTGCAGTTAATCTCAGGAAGACCATCCCGCTTCAGCCCCTCAGTACTCCCCCCACCTCAGACAACCCGCTCCAGCATCCTCTTACATCTTTTGCCCAAGACCAAGAAAGGTACACCAAAATGGCCTAGAATTTCAGGGCTGCTTAAGACTTTCCACAGAAGGGGACCGGTGTGTGGCCTTCTGAGTTGGAACACTACAGGATTTTCTTCTGGGAACACTGTTCTAGTTTTCCTTGGATTCTGTAGTACTAACATGGTACTAGTAATACTAATAATTCTGTAGTGCTAAGAATGGATTCCCAGTGCAGTTTAGGTTCTGTTGGCATTTAGGAGCTGGCTTAGGGAATTAAGCAATGTGAAAAACACTGTTTCAACAGAAAAACACATTTAAATTTTATACAGCCTCCTTACAGAGAAGCTTTTGGAATATCACCCCTTTGTCAGCTGAACACTGCTTGTAAGAATTTTAGCTGATTTTTCTGTTACCAGAATAAGAATATCCTTCATGTGGGGTCGTAATTTCTTTGGTATATGGATTTCTCTAAACAATTTTGAGAGTTTACGTTTTTAAGAAAAATTTTATTAGTTGAATATTGTAAATATTCTAAAATGTTGGTCAGATGGGAAGCAAGGTTCTGAGAAAGAAGTACTTATTGGTCACATATAGTTAAATCCCAAGGAACACTTTTCTAAATAAAGTTAGCTTTTCTCTCTAAACAAGTTTTTCAGTTTTCATTAATGTAAAACATGATTTACATGTGTGTATCTGTGTGTTTTATTAGATGTGTTGGTGAACATTAATGTAAAAGCTTTTGTCTTACCAGGTACACCTATGACAAAAACTATGGCAATGCTCTGGAAATATACTTAACGTTAAGACATAAGGATGTTTTCCAGTTGATCCACAAGCATAATCTTTTCAGTTCTATCAAGGATAAAATTGTTTTATTAATGGATTTTGATTCCGAGGTAATGTGTTTCTTTTTTTTTTTTTAATTTTGATTTTTTTTTAGCTTTTTATTGGAGTATAGTTGATTTACAGTGTGTGTTAGTTTCAGGTGTACAGCAAAGTGAATGAGGTATAATGTGTTTCTTATTTTCCTTCTGGTAAATTATTTGTGCTGTCCCAAGTTTTTAATAATTAGACATTTGTCCACGTGCTGGAGGAGTTGATAAATCACATAACTTGGCTGCATGCTGGTCACGTTCAGAAACTTCTGACCCCCCCCCCGGATGTTACTCTAGTAGTCGGCATTCAGGAATCCTTTACTTGATGTGGTTATTCTGTAAAAGCAATCATAATTTGACGTGGAACTTTTGAAGTTGTGTGTGTGTGTGAAATAATTTTATTTTGGTAAAACCATTCATATAACTCATAGAAACAGAGAATCTAGCCATATGCTTTAGCTCATTCAACCCTATTAATTGTATGTCCCAGAATTCAAATTTTAAGTAAACTATTTTGATCCATTTGTTGCAGTTTTATTCCTTGGTATTCACAGCTTTAGCATGTGGAGTTTCCACTGGTCTCAGATGATGCTCAGACTGATACATGTGGGATGCATCACTTTGTTACAGGACAGATTTGAAGAGTGCAGTGCTTGTCTCGGGAGGGCACCCTACCTCCACAGCTCACGGTGGCTCTTGTAAAGTGATATAGGCTGTGTGTTTTAAACAAAGAAAAGTTAATGCAAGTGCTAATGATGGAAAGAAAGAGATTCATACAACACAGTGGTTCTTATTCCAAAAAATCGAAAGTTTAGTTAAAGAGTAGAACCCTTAAGGCTCTAAAAGGGTCACTTGAATTTTTTAAAATTTTATTTTACTGTATCTAGTGGTATTGTGTTATATATCTATTACGTGCTATATATTAGTCTTCCCACGCTTAAACAGGAGCTAAATCTACTGCTTTCTGAAAGATGTTTTTAGCCCATTTTTCATACTGAAGATGTCCTTAGGCAGTACAGATCTAAAAATAATTAGTGCAGTTCCCAGGAAGTTCAGGGGACAGAGGTTCTGCTTTTCTGGCAGAAGATGATTAAGAGGATGAGAAGCTTATATAGAAATTAATTACATTTTCCCCATATCCAGTCTCCCCTTACGCCGACCCCACTCCCATGTGTCTCAAGAGCCTAGTTTTGCCTATGAAGCTACAGACAGATGTTGAATGAGCTCAAAATAATTGCTATTCAAGAGCATGGACCCAAGTTAAGGAATCAGAGAACTTTCTAATTAGAAAATAACTTAAGGATAATCTCTTCCAACGTCCTGATATTTCAGAGAGAAAAAATGTTCGCAGCGGACAGGTAGGCAATGTAATAGGAGAGTCAAGGACAAGACCCAGGTATTCTGTATGAGGCTCAGTCTGGTGGGCTGTCTTCCCACTCTTGCTACAGGCACTGTCTAACTTGTGTTTCATGAATGTTAACGGTGGCTAAAGTCAATTCTAAAAATCCATAAGCTTTATATCGTTATGAAACTTCAGCTATCTTTTCTTTTTCTTCTTTTTCTTTCCTGACTCTTATCCTCTTCTCCACATAAGACCAGCTTCTTGTATCTGTGGAATCTGTAGAGGGACTCAGTCAGTATTCAGGTGGCCAGAAGCAAAGCTCATTTCTGTGGTACTGCAAACTCTACAGATGTTTTGTATCAGTGAGTCGTAGCAAGGCACTATTTTAAGTCTATGCAAAGCACAGAGACCTCAGATTAAAACACATTTTAAAATGCATTTAGAAATATCTCACTGAAGGACCATTGTAAAGCTAAGAACCTTCTTATCTGTGTAAAATAAGCCCTCTGCCTTTAATGGTGATACCTTATCCAATACATTGTATTCTGTGTTCTCTTTTTTCTATGGCAAATTTCAATGACTGGTTATTTTTTCATATTGCAGAAAGCTGTTGACATGCTTCTGGACAACGAAGATAAAATTTCAGTGAGTGCCTTTTGTTTTTACACGTGTTCAAACAGATGAGTGTCTGGGACCGCTATCGCCATAAAGAAGAGAGACGTTTGTCAGATAATTTTGCAGCTATGTTTGTGTCCTCCTAAACTCTACATTAAAAAAAAAAAATTTTTTTTTTCTGTAGATTAAAAAGGTAGTGGAAGAATTAGAAGACAGACCAGAGTTGCAGCACGTGGTAAGCAGGACAGTCCTCCTCTTCTGCCGTTTGATTGAACAGGAAGGCAAATCACCTTACAGTATTGGTTTGAGAAGACTGGACTGAACATTTCAGGTTCATATACAGATGCGAGGTTTGACCGCAGACAACATTCTGTAATTATTATAATGCAGCATATGCTCTGAATCCAGATGAGGAATTAGTAACAGCTCAGGTACTTTAACTTTGACTCACAATCGAATTGTAATCAAAAGAAAAACGTTATCACATTTTTGTGTTATCAAACTACGCCTGGGAGTAAGTAAGCACCTTCCATTGACCGGAAAAAAAATGCGCAACCTGAAATTGAGAGTTATGTGTTATTTGAGCACGTTACTGAGAACCATAGCCCGGGAAAGCAGCCTCTCAGATAGCTCTGAGGGACTGTTCCAGAGAGGTAGGGGGAACCGGGATATATAGGAGTTTTTGCTGAAGGAATAAACAACAACAACATGGTGTCAGACATCAAAAGATTACTGCTAATCACACACACACAAAAACAGACATCTCAAGTTAATGATTTTAGTGCCTTTCTCTGTATGGGAAGATGGGAGAGTCTGGGCTCACTGAAATTATTCCTTACACATGCACCTTAACTATCTAGGGCCACTAGTGTTTTTCTCCATCCTGAATTCCCCTCAGGGCTCACTGGGGGTTGGGGGTTGGCAAGGAGCTGCAGTGTCTGAGGGCTTGATAGCGGGCAACATTCCTTGTTTACCAGGGTGACGGGAAGTGTACACTTCACTTCTGTAGTTACCATTTATTATAATTATGGCATAAATTACAGCAAAGCCAGTGCCCTGACCTGTGCTCTGTGGATATCAAGTTCTCCTGCCTAGGAAACACCACACAGCCATTCCGTGTTCAGGACCACAGAGTGATCACAGAACAGAGCCTTGTTTTTTTGTGACTCACCCTGACATTCCTTGTGCCCGCTTCTCTCGTGTGGTCTTGTGCTGGTGCCAACAGTCCCCTGATTCTAGATTTCCTTTGTGGTGGGGGGGAGTTACCTGGAGTCTCTGCATCGCTGTCATCATGGGCGTAAAGCAAGACTAGGTGTTTTCCATGTCCTTTCAGAATTATACAAGAGAAGTCTTAAGTGAAAATAGGGATTGTTCCAGGAGGACTGTGGACATCAAATAAGATGAGGACTCTTGTATCTTTGCCCACCTCTTTGCACCCCAGGAGGCGGGTTAGGAAACAGAGCGTTTTCTTTTAGTCCGTTTTATGCATTGACGCGTTTGAAGACTCCAAGATAGGAATGTGAGGTACTTTGGGGTTTTCTTTTGTTTTGTTGTTTTTCGCTCAGAGTGCGTACAGATGCTTTTGCCCTTTTGTTCATGATTGGAAATCTCCCGATTACCTGCTTACCCAAGCAAGGTACCTCTGTGCTGGCCACCATGGGATTTGTTTACAAAGCAGTGATTTCTGGCCTCCTTGAGCCATGAGACAGGATTACAGGCCGGAGGTATCTAGTGACAGTGTCATTAGGGCAGTGGTGGAATGGTGGTGGAGCTCACACTGAAGTGGCCCCATCTTCCCTGTCAGGCAAGGTAATGTCTCTAGAAATCTGCCCTGAAGGTGTGACAGAGCCTTCCTAACCTGTCTGCGCCTCTGGGAAACTGCAGTGTGTCCAGCTCACATGCTGACCCTGCGCCAGTGTACTGGCCGGAGTCTGCATCGGATCGTGGAGTTCTGTCTGACTCCCCCCACCCTCTTGCCTGAGGGCAAGGGGAGCAGGTAGAAACCCGAGGAAGGGTTTCTCAGTGTGCTTGTGTCCTAGTTAGGCTTATTTAGTGACCGCGTGCAACAGCGAATGTCAAACTCCAGTGACTTCATTCCCAGTCACACCTCCGGGGCCGGCTGACGCTCTGTGTTTCTGAAGAACCAGTCCACTCAAGGGGCTAACGCACCTGGTGTGACGAAGTCCCCCCGCCTCAGAGGGGTTCTGGGGTGTTTGTGTACATTTAACATGAACTAGATATTGAATGTCGATTTCTGGCTTCCGCACAATATATTGATAGACTTGCCTCCAAGTAGAAAGTCAGTCACTCACTCCCTTGGAGGTCCATTAACTTTTTCAGACGGTCAGGGAAAAGAATCAGCTTTGAAAATGGGTTCAGAACACCTGTACTCTTCTCGATTTTTTTACTTTTTGTTTTTGAGGTCACCGGGAGAGGCAGCATTTCATTGCAAACACAGATCTCAATAAGACTTTAAGGAGAGAAGATGCAGAACGTGTGAGAATTAATTTAGCGCTTGCGACTTGAGTTTTTAAGAACATGCTCTTGTCTCATGACATACATAAAGGACGGGAATTTTTATGATCCAGGAACACCACTGATCAAGCATTCCGTTTCTGAGACGAAGTAGATGATTGTGATGATGTTATAACCACTCCTGTCATTAACAGTTCTGTGGGGCCGAGTATGTGCCAGGCATGGTTCTGAGTGACTTACAAATGGTAACTCATTCAGCTCTCACAACCACCCCAGCAGATTTTTGCAGATGGAGAAACTAAGTCACAGAGGTTAGTGACCTGCCCAAGGTCACATGGTCAGTGGCAGAGCCAGGTCATTCGGGGCCATTCTGGAGAGAATGTCAGCACATCCTTGGTCTCCCCAAGGTGTTCTCCTGTCCACTTTGCCTTCACCTAGAGATTTTTCCTGAAAACTGCTTTTCTGTCAGCCTCTCCGTGGAAGCTGTTTGGAACTGAAAATAGCAGTGTGAAACAGGTATTGCTTTTCTTATTTTAATATTCCTGGTTTGTTCATTTGTTCTTTTTAGTATCTGCATAAGCTTTTCAAAAGAGACCATCATAAGGGGCAGCGCTACCACGAGAAGCAGATCAGCCTTTACGCTGAATTCGACCGACCCAACTTGCTTCCATTTCTCCGAGACAGTATCCATTGCCCCCTTGAAAAGGTAAGTCACAGGCGCCCCTGCTCAAAACACTTCGAGGTGACAGAGTCATCACTGTTGGTAAAAGCTCTGGGTTTTCTTAGTCTTCCTGTCTCTGCTTAACCATCCCCGTTCAAGGGGAAGCCTTGCTCTCAAAGCAGTAGGTTTTGCTGCATATTCTCATGAGAACAGGAGGTCCTATTGGATTCGATTTTGGTGAGAAGCTCAAGTATTTCTGTGCCAGGTTCAATTGGAAGAAAGGTTTAATCCAGGGTCTAGGACTCAGTCAACCATAAAACACTGTCGGGAGTCTGAGGCAGTTTACCAGCATCAGGGTGGGACCTCAGAGTCAGCCTGGGACGGGGACACGGACCGCCCCAAGCCGGAGGCAACTGGCCCCAGCTGGGACTCAAAGTCGGTAACATCAGTCCTACACCCCCTCTGCTTTAAATACCCACCTTATATATTTTTGTATTTCTCTCTCCCACTACATTCCATTATAGTTTTAATAGATATAATTACTAGTCTCTCCCACCATCCTATAAATTCTTCAAGGACAAGGAGTTTGTCTCACTCGTTTTGATAAACTCAGTAGCCGGCACACATTACACACTAAATGTTTTTTGCATCCTGACCGAGTTAGTGAATGGATAAATTGATACACACGAGGTTCTAGTTAGGGCTGAATATGAACTAGTAGGTGTTATGAGCCTGTTGTTGCAAAATAAACTATAATACTTACTATGTGTGTACTAGAAACTGGCCGGTAGAAGACCATCAGTTTTGTCTCCCATGGTTCTTCAGACCATCTGGAATACTCGCTACCACCTACAAGTGTCTTACTAAATTCAGATGGCCAGAGAGCAAGTACTTTTCATAGTCACCTGTGTGTATCAACAAAACATACTTATTTGACCCATAAGAGATACGTACTAAGAAGGTGACTGATAAAGCAACTTTTCTAGTTGCTTCCTCAGCCCATGATGATTAACTTCAAACGTACTGAATTTACTATGAGCCAGTTTCAGCTCAATGCATTCTCAGAATCTGCAATTAAAAAAAAAAAAAATCTTGCCTGCATATTAGTTTATGAAAGACATTAACATTTTATGTTCGGGCACTAAGGCTTTTTCTCAAGAATAAATTTGGAAACACATCATCTTAAAAAAGAAAAGCAAACTTTCCTCTCTTTTCTCACTTTAGAATCTATCGTCTAGAAAAAGAGGGAGAATCTTACCCTTTGAGTGCCCATTTGTTTTTGTCTCACTTTCGGAGGAAACATCGTTTGTTTCCAGGAGGACGTGGCTGTAGCCCGCACACTCCTCAGCCAGAGCCCCGCACGCAAGCGTGATCAGCACCCACCCAGGCTTCCTTCTTCCCATTCACTGAACACAGGTGCAGAGGGCCCAGAGATTCCATAACGTTCGTGTCTGGAACACACTTTCAACCCATCTGGTTTGCAGTTTTCCAGTCCGGTAGTGTTCAACAGGAGTCACACTGCTCTGCCCTCAAAGGGAGCATCAGAAAATCTCGACCCCACACATGGTACTTCTAATACAGAGAACTCACTTGGAGCATTGTGTAGACCTTTTTGAATTTTTCTCTCTGATCTGCTGAGAAGAACCAGTTGCATGTAAGAGAACTCAACACAAGCGTCTGAAAACAAGTATGTTTTAAATAGTTTTTTTTTTTAAGTTATCTCATGTTTTCCACTGAAAGAGAATTTTGAACAAAATGGATTCGAGATGGTAGTGGTGGAAATATGTCATTATAATCAAGTCAATAATCTACATTTTTAGCTTTCATGTTAAAGGTCACTGAGACGTCTTTATAAGAGATTATCTTTGCACCAGACTCCACTGTGGGAAATCTGTATATTTGCAAAAATATACCACTATCCTTGCTCAGGTACCCCAAGCCATCTTAAAGCAGATTTTCTTTAACTCATTAAGAATCTCATTCCTTTCTCCCTAGAAACAAGAACTCTGTGCACACATGATCATCTTAGAAACAAATTCCTTTTATGTTTACTTGTAACATGAAAAAAGCAACCAATTCATAAAAAGCAAAGTAGATTTTCCCTCCATTAAAAGCATCCTACTAAAACATGACACAAATGAATTTATCTACGAAACAGACTCAAAGACACAGAGAACAGTCTTGTGGTTGCCAAGAGGGGTGGGCGAGTGAGGGATGAATTGGGAGTTTGGGATTAGCAGAGGCAAACTATTATATATAGAACGGATAAACAACAAGGTCCTATTGTATAGCAACAGGGAACTATATTCAATATCCTGTGATAAACCATAATGGAAAAGAATATGAAAAGGAATGTATATATATGTATAACTGACTGACTTTGTTGTACAGCAGAAATTAACACAACACTGTAAATCCACTATACTTCAATAAAATACTTACAAAAAAAAAAAAAAAGCATCCTAAACATGCTGACGGTAAAATGAAGGTCATGGGGTACAGATTCACCTGTTTTGTCTAGAGAGACTCAGAAAATTTGGCCTCCGTTTCTACTGAATATAAAGTTAAGAGCTTAAAAAATTTAATCCCCCCTTCCACCCACCCCCAAGACATCTCTACTTCAGAAGAGTTTATAGATTGTTTAGTCCAAGAGACGTTGAGGTTGTATTTTGGTGTTTGTTTTTATTTTAAATGGGAAGTGTTTCAGGGCATTCAGAGCATGTGGACTCACTACTGTAGATAATTCACTTCCAACAGAATACAGCTCTCTCTTCCAACAGAATACAGCTCTCTCTTCCTCATTTCTGGTTGTCTGGCTTTGCTGGGATTGGGTAATCGCTTAAGGAAGGGGTGAAATCTTCGAGAATCCAGGTCAAACTTATTTTGAGTTGATTGAAATGCCTCAGTCAATAGCATTTGGCCGGAAAGTTTGTAGAGACTTTGCATCACATTAGAAGCACTTCAGGAATGTAGTTACCAAAGACCAGAGTTCAGGATTTAAAATCACCACAACTCTTACATTCCAAAATGAATCGTAAGGTTTTATGAAACTGTTCATTCTAAAGGAGATACAGGGTGGGTAGGAATTTATAACATCTACAGCAATTTGAAAAGACAATAAATATAGGCTTTTAAAAAAAATAGTATCCCGAAACATTTTTTGTTGTACTTTTGTCATGTGTGCTGTGCTTTCATGTTCCTTGTTTTTATGTATCATGTGTGCTGTGCTTTCATGTTCCTCGTTTTTATTTACTCTCTACAAAAGTGCAGGTCGGTGGATAAAGTCATTTTATACATGACAAGCTGAGTCTTCAGAAGTTGAAAGAAACAGCCCAAAGTCTAGAGCTACTAAGTCAAAGGGCCAAGACTTGGAACCTGGGTCCCAACTTCAGGTCTCGTATTCTTTCCTCCATGATGAGAAAACATTTTTCAGGTTTAAACCGTTAATTAAAATTACAACAGTAATAAAGATACTCCTTAGTACTGCAATAATCATGAAAGACATCGGTTTTTAAACTGCTCTTTCTTCTGTAATTTCCAGGTATGGTCATCAGGCACTAGTTTTCATTTGCAAACCTGATTTGCTTATGCCTAGAATAGTTAAAAGCAGGGTATCAGCTTTATTATTAATACCTCAATCTATGATCGCTCTCATATCTAATGGCATTCGCAAGGTGGCAGTATTTATGAATTTGGAGGCATAAAGTGGGAGATGCACAGTTTATAAATTTTCCTTAAAGAAATTTAAAAATAAGACTGGATAAAAGATGACAGGGTCAAGGCTAGGTAGAAATCATCATATAGTCTGTATAGTTGATAAGGTTTCTGTTAGTTAACCCCAAACTTCTAACTCTGTTACTTACCTTTACATTAAATCAGGCGAAGGAAAATTAAAATATTATTTTTGCATCATTTTTTACTCAAATTTCTTTTATTATTGTCTTGCCACTTTTTTGTTTTCTATTATTCTCCTTTTCTGAGATTGTGTGTGTGTGTGTGTGTGTGTGTGTGTGTGTGTGTGTGTGGTCTCCTGTTGGCTTTAAAAATCTTTGTTTCCCTTCTCTTTTCCTCTAGAGGGAGCTCTATGGCTCAGGAACATTCAAGAATCTAAAATAAGAAAACATGCTTTTATGCTTTACTTGTGTCGGTAATAGAAAAATTCTGTGTGCCAGAAATTTTTTTCTACACTTTACTCGAAAGTCCAGAGATAGAGTCTCTACTTTCTCATATATGAGAAAAGGGTTATTCAAAATACTGTTAGGAACTCGTCATAAAACATTTATAAATCTGTGAAGTTCAAATTGCAGAGACCCAGATTACCTCTGAGCTTGGTGTTACACATCTGCCTGCCTTCCAGTCCACTCTTGACTCCAGATCAGCCTTCAGACATTTCTTCCCACATGAATGGTCATTTTTGACAGTCCAGCAGTGATGAAAATGGGCTACAGTCTACTCTAACAAGGTAGCCACTGGCCACATGTAGCAACTGTGAGTAATTGAAATACGGAGAGTGAGGAATTGAAGTTTTAATTTAAATTTAAAGAGCCACCTATAGCAAGTGGCTACTGTCTAGGACAGCTCAGGTGAACCTTCAGGCCACAAACTCTCTTTGTGGTTTGAGACACTCATGTTTTCAAGCATCCTCATGTGTTCAAGAATAGGAGGGTGGCTCTGTTTGCAACTCTTGAGTGGTACCTTAAAGTGTCAGTGAATTTCCAGGTACAGAATTGACTTATGGGTACCTTTTAGTAATACACCACTTTAAGCATCATACTCATCTTTATTCACATTATCTTTCTCTAAACATTCTATAATACCTATCCAGTTGTATTGCTGTTACCGAACACGAGTTTGTGTGCCCGACACACGGTGAGGCCAAACCAAAACATCGGAGTTTGGAGCAGAGAAAGTTTTATTGCAGGGCCATGCAAAGAGACGGGTGGTTTGTGCCCCTAAAAAACCCGAACTCCCCAAAGGGCTTCTGCAAAGCATTTTTAAAGGCAAGGTGAGGGAGAGGTGTGGTTGGTTGCTGCAGACTTCTTGGT